TCTGTCAGTATAAATAGATACAAACATGTACATTAAAAGCATAAAAGAAAAGCATTGAAAGCATATTAATAACTTAAATTAAGAGTTTAAAAATTCTTGCACAAAATAAAATGCAATACTGATGAATAATAAATGTCTTTATTCATCACATAATTTGTACACTTCATATTTGTGACAATGAGATAATGAACAGCAGAAAAGGGCGGAGTTCATTTCATTTGAGGACAAGAACCCCAGTAAAATGTTCTTCCACTCACCCCAAAAATACAGCCAAAACTGTATCAACCTTATCGAAGTATTGACATCATTACACATCCTTCCATGAATATATGTTTCAATTTCATATAGCGGAAAGAGCACCGAAAAAAGACAAGAAAAAGTTGATTTTGGTCAAAAAAATATTTCTTGTATTTTGATTAAAGTTTCGTTAACGATAGACATTTAAGAAGTTCCACAGGTAAAGAGTTGTATATGATGGATATTTGATGTGAAAAACAACGTTCGAAAAATTCAGTTCTGAACTTTGGTTGCGTTATTGTACTTCTGAATCTTACATTCACATTATGAATATCAGACCGAATTGTGATTTTTTGGTAATTATAATTTTGTGGAACAAACAAGCAGCATAAAAAGTCTTTTTTTCTTCATATTCAACCATCCAGCAGTATTTCATTTGAAATTATTTCGCGTCTACGAACACCATACAAGTATATAGGTCTTAGGCAAGAGTTTTAAACACTTCAACTAAAACTTCAACTATTATTCGAATGTCTATCACCTTTCTAGATCGCTTCGCGTACCGCACTGTAACTTCCACTTGACTGTCTCGATGGGCGAGTGGATAGTGCTCATATCTGGCAATCGAAGGCGCTGGAACATTCCTCGGAATTCTATCGAAGCCGGTAGCATTATTCTAGCTACGTCTAGAATGACAGCGAACATCGAATATTCGCGCGCTCTTATCTACGTCACAATTGGTTTATGGCGACCACTGGAGGCCGGCGTTATTTTGTCTAGGGCATGATTTTATTATGCCGACGCGGCATAATTAAAAATAGACGATACTGACGATTCACACAGAAGTAGTTTATTTATATATTTTTAGAGTCTTAAATTACAACTACAGAGCTAATTGGTCACTATCAATAGTAATTTTGTTATCTTGAGAAAACAGTGAATAGTTTTTTGCACCAAATAACATTATGTTAGATTTACTAGAACTTATCTGCAGACAATAATTTGATGCTTTTTGTATGAATTAGTAAAGATCTTCATTAATGAAAATACAGGCTGTTTCCATATCCCCCGGATGAAAACTGTAACAAATCTGTGTACCGTGCAGTGAGCAGTGCAATGTTCAAGAGGTATATAGGTATATAAAGAAAAGCGAAGTAGTCCCAATAGAGAGACTTGTGGGACACAGTCGTTGCTGAGAATTCGAGATATAACTTCTTATATTTGTATTTATAATCATTACTTTTGAAACTGGTTTAGACAGATTTTTTTGATAAACTTCTAAAGAAAGACTATCTTTTTTCGAAACATTCCTTTACAATCCCAAAAAATTACTATATTTCAGGAACATACAGAATACAAAATTGACCAAAATAATCGAAGCAATTTCTCTTGAGCAACTAGGGGTCTAACTGATCTAACCAAAATGTTGAAGAACCTTTTATAATGCAAATCTTACAATAAACTAGTATTAGCTAGTTTAGCAACAATCATCTTACCTGGAATAGTAGAAAGGCATAGCCTTTTGGTGGGAAATACGACTTGCTTTCTGCCTTATGTGGCCAATCAACGACTAAAGGGCCAAATCTTCTGAAGCTGACTGTTATCTCATCCTCATCTATATCAGGCGGAAGCCCTCCTACGAATACTTTCCTCGAAAACCTTTCTCCTCCTTCTGAGCCTTGTGAGTGAGGTGAAGATCTTGAAGGTGAACTCAGAGGTTGGGTTCCTAAGTTACTATCTACTAAATGACTAGGTTCTTCTAGAAGCACAGGGCCAGCCTGGTCCTCCAAACCAGCAAAGTAGTGTGATTTGCCTGAAACAAAAATACAATTGAATTTGCACAGTATCGACTGTCAAGGGTGATGAGTTTCAAAAGTTCACAAATTCAGGAGTCAGGACTCCTAATTACATGTCAATGAAGCTGTATAATAATTAACCTAATCGAATCAAGGATTTGGGAAGCATTAATGAATCTAAGAAAGAAATAAAAAAAAAATAGATTCAGAACCATAGTGTTAGTGATTATTTAAACCAAACGGAATTATGGAAATGTATAGGTGTATGTGGTGGTTTTATGCCAGTAGATTCACATACTTTTTTTGATATCATTATACTCTGTTGTCTGTGCACAAGCTGTAATAGTGGGCATATTTTTAAAATAATGTAACGAATTAAAGAATTAACTGCCTTTAACAAATTTATTTTTAACAATATTTCACTATTACAACTAATTTATATTCAACACTTAGCAACTGACGCTTAATTTATCTTCACTGTTCGAATTCTTTGTTTAACCGCTCGATTCGCTTTCTGAATACAGAGTCCCTCTCTGGGCGGGAAGCAGGGCTTATATATCGGTAACGATCGTTCTAGATTTATCTAGTGGTCTCTGTACTCGCCTAGTATTTTCCCGGCGAGTCAGACTGCTTCTTTCGTGGTGATGTCATGTTTATTCGCTGGCTGAGATATCGGTCAGGGCCGGCTTCAGATTCGTTACAATAAAGATTATTATTGGTCTTACTGGTCTTATTGATAACATACGTAAATGAAGGAAGCATAAACCATCTAGCGACATAGCGGTTGCGGCGGTAACGGCCGGGATCCACCCTGAATAACTTTTGGTGCAATAATAACCATGAATATTAAAAAAATGCGTCAACAATAGTATACAGGGGGAGATAGTTTGACATATTCACATTTGATGTTACTTCCCCTATCGCATCCTCAGAGCTTGTCAAATTTTTTTTTAAATGGATCACCCTATATTGTTTCGCATTATCAGATGCTCCATGATGAGCAGATTTCAACAAAGTATAAAACATATGGTTTGAAACTTATGGTTCGGGAGCTACAAATTATTCGAGATGGAAACGAGCCACCCTGAATAACTTTTGGAACATGATTTTCAGGAAAATTAAAACTACACCTCAACAATAGTATACAGGGGGAAACATTTTGGCATGTTCGTTCTAGAGATGAATATGGTAGCAATAAATCAGAAAAAGAGATTTTTTATTAATTCTTGAATCAAAATCTGATGACTGGACAATGAGAAGAAAAAAATTTTCAATAATAAATGTTCAAAAACATTTTCACCAACTTCCATAAAATGGTACAAACGAGCTTTCATTGCCGCCCTCACATGGTTGAGAATCTCGGGAGTAATTTCTCTGCAATGCCTCATGGCCTCATGTCTCAAATATTCTATGTTGTTGATCTCATACACTTCAGACTTCAAATGACCCCATGGAAAAAATCTACAGGAGTGAGATCCGGAGACCTTGGTGGCCATTCTGTAGGACCTCGTCTGCCAATCCAGCGACCAG